ACAATGGGCAGTTTCTTTTATTATTTTTTTTTTTCCAGAGAACAGCTCTCTGAGACATTTATAAGTTACCGTATTTTTCGGCTCATACGACGCACCGGCACATAAGACGCACCCAATTTTAAAAGAGGAAGATCAAGAAAAAAAAGATTCTGAACCAAATACTGTTGTAAAATATTTTATATCAACTGTGTAAAAGTTAACAGCCAAACATGTAACATGAACAGACAGTAAACAGTAAAAGTAACAAAAAAAAGGCCGTAATGTTTTTCTTTGCCCCCACTCATCACTCTAAAGTCCACCATTCGTTATCACCATCACTGTTCCAGTGCAACATTGCCCCCACATTAGTAATACCGTAATAGCCAGTAACATTGTCACTACATTACTAATAATAGCTAGTAACATTGTCACTACATTACTAATAATATCTAGTAAGATTGCCCCCACATTAGTAATAATACAGTGGTTCTCAAACTTTTTTAGTCGAGCCCCCCTTTAAACCTTGAAAAGAATGTAAAAGATATAAAATAATAATTATTTAATAATTAATTAATAACTATTTTAATGTAAAATAAATGTAACTACTCCTTAATGTTAAATAACTCATTATTTATAGCTTATTCAAGTGACAATTCGGTTGCATGGTGTTAAGATATGATCCTTATGCGCTCTTACCTGGTTAGGAACACTACCCAATTGCAGAGCACGTTACTTACGCTTGTTATCTCGTATGTACATGTGTGAGATGTACCGTTGAGAGATGATTTGAGGTTGAGTTTATTAAAGGAGAGTTTCAGTCATTGAGAGCGTTTTGTTTTCCTCACGCGAGCAAGAGAGAGAGAGAGCACGGCAGCAGTTCCGCTCGTGAGTACGGATGCGGAAGCACCGCTGCGGCTACCGTAGCCAAGGAATTGTGGGAAATGTAGTTTTTTTTCTCATTTTCGTTACGGCCGCGCTATGGCAGAGATGGGCGAAGACGTCAGCGCCCAGCGCTGGGTGTACAAATATGGCCTCGGCTTCGGCCTAGCTCCGGGGCTCTTTTACGTTTAATGTGTGAGAAATGGCAACAGTTTCGCTCGTGAGTACGGATGCGGAAGCACCGCTGCGGCTACCATAGCCAAGG